GTCATACCCTTGGCCCCCCTCCATCATTTGTTTCTGGACACTTTTTTGCTCGAAAGCTCACCGCTGGATTAGGTGCAACTCCGGGAATGATTGTCGCAGCAAGGAAAGTTCCGAGGATGGTGACGAGGATAAGACGGGTCGATCACATCACTGGTCCGTAGAGCTGACACATAAATCACATCTGGATGATTGGAGGAAAGACGACTGAGAGACGAGAGATTCTGCATTATCCAGGGGTTCCGGATAAAGAATTGAGCTTCCTTTTGATCGAACGCCGCCTGCAGCGCTATAACCGCATCTGGTTGTGGCGAGGCCAGTCGATCTGACTCAAAGAAGCCGTATGTGGACGAAGGTGAGTCCGTAGCGCGTTGCATTTCCGCCATCATTCGCTTCCTATCCTGGAGGTAAGTAACGCGTGCACTGGATGAGGAAAAGATCGATTGGACTGACAGGGGCAGGCAAGCGGACATCGCGTACGATAGTCGAGGATCGTAGTTCGTTTTCCCTCCTTGTTAGTGGCCGGGCGTCCCGATCCCCATCACGGTCCGAGGTTGATCAATTCCTGTCAGGCTGTAAATCATTGACGTGAAATTTCTATCAAATGTCGACTTCATTTCTGACTCTTTACAGACCCTGGAGAATTACTACACACGAATACTCGTAAGGTGAAGTTCACTCTCGAGGTTGTGGCTCCGTTCTCCACAATTCACTTTGACCTCGTACAGACCTACACAGCAAACAAACAACCTTGAAAGTGATATGTATCACCCTGTCTGTGCCTCGAGGGGACGATCTTCTCATTTTTGTTTGACGTAAAACCCGCGACAGCACCTTTTCCTTGCAGTAGTTGGTCACACCGGTACGACTCAACGCCATTCAATAGTCCGCAATATGCGCGTGTCAATCACCGCATCGGACCAATGATGTTGACGGCATTCGATTCCTGGTACAATATGTCGTGAGGCTTGTCGACAATAGTCACACCGTTGAAACACCTGTCAAAAGCGACGCGGAGATGCAGGCGGCTGGGAATTCGTTAGACGCTTCCGTCGTTCAAGAAGCATTTAAGCTCAATGCACACGAATGGGGGGACTCTTGATCAACCTCGAGTGGTCCTGGCAGTTTCTATCATCATACATCGCCGATTGACTCGACCAGGTGGAGGTTAGGCAATTGATCTTCTACGAAGCTTTGAATTTCTAACGTCATTGTCCCATCCCTTCCCCAGCACATACGGCATTGTCTCGAAGGCGTCTGATATTCTTCTTCTCTTTTAGCCCTTGCTCAGCATTCACTCATTCCTTTACCAAGTAAGACATATCGCGAAACTGAGAAGATGCCTCTCCTTCGCAGACTCTCTTCAAGCTTCAGGAAGAGCAAGCATGGCCACACCAACGGTACTACCAACGGTACTACCAATGGCACTACTAACGGACACTTGAAGCCTGTGGAGGAATCTCACACTACAGAAACGAATGGCACGCGTCCAGGAAACACTGTGGCTCAGAGCCTCGCAAAGACCAAGGACGTTGAGAGAAAGGGGTCGCACGCCCAATCCATGCCCTCGCCCCCTGTCGAGCCAGCTCCCTCCAATGCTGACGGTCCTGCATCCCGAAAAGATGTGGAAGACGTATTCCAGCAGTTTGCACAACTTATACACGCCTCTCGTCGCCCACTTCCCACACAGTCAGGCGATGGTCAATATCTCGAGAAACAGGAGTCATCCGGATTTCTGGCCGATCTCAGATCTCTTGGTTTGAAAGATGTAAAGACAGTCACGCATATGCTGGAAGACAAGGCGAGCGGCCAGCCACAGGACGATCGCAAGATGCACATGGAGGAGATCATGCAGCTGATCGCGGCTCTACCAGATCATTCCGCAAACAGAGTGCAGTTGACCGGAACACTTCTGGATCTGCTTTGGAACTCCTTGCAACACCCTCCAATGTCCTATCTAGGAGACGACTTTCGGTACAGATCAGCAGATGGTTCGAACAATTCTTACATCTTCCCGAAGCTGGGCGCAGCCAATACACCGTATGCTCGCTCAGTAGCTCCGGTGACGGTACAGCCTGGTGCTCTTCCTGACCCAGGGTTGCTCTTCGACTCTCTCATGGCAAGGGACGAATTCAAACCACACCCAAACAAAGTATCGAGCATTTTCTTTAACTGGGCATCTTTAATTATTCATGGTATGTGGACACAAATATCGACCCAAGACAAATGGCTAATATCTCTGCAGATCTCTTCCAAACCGATCACAAGGACTACAGTAACAGCAAAACATCTAGTTACCTCGACCTGTCCATACTTTACGGAGACACTCAAGATGACCAGAACAACATGAGGACGTTCAAGGACGGCAAGATCAAGCCGGACTGTTTTGCCGAGGAGCGACTATTGGCGTTTCCTCCTGCCTGTGGCGTCATGTTGATCATGCTGAATCGTTTCCATAACTATGTCGTCGAACAACTCGCCTTGATCAACGAGAATGGGAGGTTCAACAGACCATCGGACAAGTTGCCCCAGGACGCATCGGACAGAGCGTGGAAGAAGTATGACAACGATCTCTTCCAAACGGGCCGGCTGGTTACGTGTGGGCTCTACATCAACATCACATTGTACGACTACCTTCGGACTATTGTCAACCTCAATAGGACCAACAGTACTTGGACCCTGGATCCGCGTTTGGACAAGCCCAAGACGTTCGGAAGTGATGGCACTCCTCGCGGCGTTGGCAACCAAGTAAGCGCCGAGTTCAGCTTGTCATACCGTTGGCACTCGTGCATCGGCCAGACTGACGAGGCATGGACGGAAGCCGTGTACCACGAGTTGTTTGGAAAAGCCCCAGACGAGGTGTCACTTCAAGAACTCATGGTCGGGTTGGGGAAATACGACCACGAGATGCCCGCGGATCCGCTGAAACGACGATTTGCACATTTGAGCCGCGGCCCCGATGGCAAATTCGACGACGGAGAACTCGCCAAAATCATGCAAACGGGCGTGGAAGAGGTGGCCGGTGCCTTTGGAGCTCGCAACACTCCCAAATGTCTACGTGCAATCACCGTCCTCGGGATCATGCAAGGTAGATCTTGGAATCTCTGTACCCTCAACGAGTACCGAAAGTTCTTTGGACTCAAAACCTACGGTACCTTCGAGGAGGTGAACCCCGATCCATACATCGCGGAACAACTGAAACACCTCTATGAACATCCCGACTATATCGAGCTGTATCCTGGTTTGGCTGTTGAGGAATACAAACAGCCAATGGTTCCTGGGGTCGGGATCTGTCCGACGCACACAATTTCCCGCGTTGTTCTCTCGGATGCGGTGGCCTTGGTACGAGGCGATAGATTCTACACATTGGATTACAATGCGAAGAATTTGACGAGTTGGGGATTCAACGAAGTAGCCTACGATCTGAGTGTTAACCAGGGTTGCGTCTTTTACAAACTCCTTCTCCGTGCCTTGCCGAACCATTTCAAGCCCAACAGTATTTATGCCCACTGTAAGTGAAAAGGTTACTCACGGCCGGGGAGATTTTCTGCTAACACTCATCACAGACCCCATGACAGTACCGAGCGAGAATGCAAAGATCATGCAGGACCTTGGCCGGTACCACGACTACGACTGGAGCACCCCAGCGTACATACCAACGAGGGTAAACCTGACGTCGTACGAAAGTGCAAAGTACCTGCTTCAGCGCTCCCAAGACTTTACCGTCATGTGGAACGATGGCTTGGGCTTTGTCATGGGTGCGGGAGGTGAGAAGTTCTGCTTGGGAGGTGACAGCCGCCTCCATCGCAAGCAACGGGAGCTCATGCAAGGGTTGCTGTACCGTGAAAAGTGGCACGAACACGTCAAGACCTTTTACCAAGACATCACCATCCGCCTGTTGCATGACCACAGCTGCAGGATCGCAAACGTCAATCAGGTCGACCTGACGAGAGACGTGGGAAACCTCGCGCATGTGCATTTCGCCGCCAACATTTTTGCCCTCCCACTGAAGACGGCGCAAAACCCTGCGGGGGTTTTCAGCGAACAGGAACTGTGGATGGCCATGAGCGTCATCTTCACGGCCATATTCTTCGACTTTGAGCCCACAAAGTCCTTCCAGTTGCGCCTGGTGGCGAGGAAGCTGGCCAACATGCTTGGGAAATTGATCGAGATGAACGTCAAGTCGGTCACCGCGACCTCGTTCGCGTCCAAACTGTTTGACAGTTTCCGGGAGAATGAAAATGCCCTGGCAGATTACGGTGTCCACATGATACGCCGCTTGAGCGAGGCCGGTATGAGTACGTACGATGTGGCCTTTAGCCAAATCATGCCGACGGCGGTCGCGATGGTCCCCAACCAGTCCCAAGTTTTCAGCCAGATCATGGACTATTACCTGGGTGACGAAGGTCTCGAGTACCTTCCCGACATTCAACGACTCGCCAAGATTCAGAGTAAAGAATCCGACGATATGCTCCTTCGCTATGTCAACGAGGGTATCCGCTTGAACGGAACCTTTGGCAGTTATCGTCGGAGTGAGGTCAATCACGTCTTCAACGACGGCGACCGTCGAGTCACGGTCAAGCCTGGCGACAAGGTGTTTTGTAGTTTTATTGCGGCGGCACGAGACCCCAAAATCTTTCCGGACCCAGACCGTGTCCGCCTGGACAGGCCGATGGATTCCTACATACACTATGGGATCGGAGACCATACCTGCCTCGGCAAGGACGCGAGCATGGTTGCACTTACTGCCATGCTTCGGACGGTTGGACAACTTCAGAATCTGCGACGAGCTCCTGGGCCTCAAGGTCAGCTCAAGAAGGTGAGACGCCCCCGATATCGTTACCTCCTAGCCATCATACTAACTTTCGATTAGGTTCCGAGGGATGGAGGCTTCTATGTCTACATGAGAGAAGACCAAGGCTCATATTTCGTGTTCCCATGCACCTTCAAGGTTCATTTCGACGGGCCATTGCCAGTACTTCGAAATTGAATGATGGAATAGATTGATAGTTGTATCACAATGATAATTTTGTGTTGGGATTTCTAAGATCGCTTTCTATGATATCTAGACGCTTGCGAAAAAACGTTTTGATGATGTACATGTTCATTTGGCCATTCATAAATACTGTACGGTGCAAGTTTCTTTGAGAACCACCTTTTTTGGAACTTCGATTGAATCAGGCAATTTTTGCGAGCTTGTGCAGCTCCTCCAGACCTTTTGCTTCGGAAAAGGTATTTTTATGTCGTCCAGAGATCCAATCCTGGACTTTGATGGGTGGGTATTTTGACTGGCAGCCGGATGATGATGATGATGATGATGATGATGAACAGTAGTCGCCGCATCCAGGCAGGCAGTCAATCAAAAATTCGGGATTTCCAGAGTAGAAGAATGGTATGCTGTATCGTTCCCTTCCGTTTTTGTTGATGACCCGGTGAAGGTTTGCGACGTAGGTATCGTTAGACCAACGCATCATCACGCTACCGAGGTTGACCACGAGGGCTCCCGGGGTAGGCTTGACGTCGATCCATGTCTTGGTTGGGGTGTCGAACACTTGCAATCCACCAACGTCGTCTTGTAAAAGTATCGTCACGGTGCCAAAGTCGGTATGTGCTCCGATGCCTGTGGAAGGAATAGGTCAGTATTGTGGTCCTTGCTTGAACGGAGACGGTGGGTTGGGTCAAAGCTTACCTCTTTCATCCTCACTCGCATCAACAGCCTGAGGAGGATAGTGTAGGAGCCTGAGGACCGAGACTGGTTCCTGACAAAATTCGTCGAAATAACTCCTGTCCAAATCCAGCGTCATGGCAATGACACGGAGTATATCTTCCGCCAAGCAAGTCATGGCCTGGTGGTATTGGTCTATTGTCTTCTGGAATCGATCCTGGTCCTGCATTTCTGACGGATACACGTTTTGGCCACAGTGGAGTCTGCCCTCCTGAACATAAGGATGATTCTGAGGGAGCGACCTGCCAAAGAAGAAGCCTTCTTTGAGGTCGCCCGCCGTCTTGCCCTCGAAGTTTTGTGCTCGTAATCGTTCGTAGCCAAGTCTGTTCGGATGGTTTGCTGTAGTAGTAGACTGCATTAGTATATAGGAACGATGCACTTTTTTTTGTTCTAGAATTCCAAGAACCTACCTTGATCGTATTTTTGTTTTTGTTCCGTAGGCAAAGAGAAAAGGTCTCGAGATTGTTCCAACATGGCTTGTTGAAGGTCTTCAGAGATGCCATGTCCGGTAATCTGAAAGAATCCTTTCTCTAGACATGCGGCTTTGACCTGTTGTACGAGATCCGCTTTGATATTGTCATCACCCTCATAGAAAGCTATCGTGAATCATTAGCAAATGTCTTCAATTTCCGTTTGTTGAAGGAACATACGAGAAAAGTCAATCACAGGAGGAGGTCTTGGTGTTGCTTGTAGCTTCACGCTCCCGACATGATATTCCGCCTCGACAGTATGTGCAAGAGTCTGAATCATGGTGCTTGTTTCTTCGGCGATGCTATTTAATGTAGTTTTTTTCAAGGTATGCAGGTTGTTGTACAGATGGGATTTGTTCAATGCTTGGACATTCAGTGCTATTTATCTACGATATCTCAACTTCAAAGAAGAAACAGTACAACTGCGGGCTACAAGGTTCAGATTCTATCGAAAGTTACTCTACCAACTGCTGGAAGTTAGTCCGCATGGTGAATGCAACAGAATGACGATGGTAAGTGGTGTTCGGTGTTCCATGGCTTGTCGAACTCGGAACTGGTGGCCCATGCTTCAGATACAACCCGCAAGCACAGACGATTCCACGAATGGCAACGACAGAAAACGGCAAGTCCTTCACGCGGGAGACGGGAAAACGTGCGTGCACGGTCCACGGGGGCGCATCTAGAACAAAAGAATCTCTCAATAGCGCTATTTTTACATTGCTTTTAGTGTTATCCGGAGAGAGCTGCGCCTCCAGTAAAATTCCCTCTCTCTCTCTTCTGAGGAACGGGCTAACGAGAACAGGTAAGAAGAGGTCCTGCAAGTTACATTCTCCAGAGCCAACAGCTGTTCTCTCATATTCGTCGTTGCAATCTGTGGCTGAGCGTCACCAGAGTTAGAGAAGACAACTGATATCACTCATATCGCCGTGTCTGTTGTGACGTCTAGTTCTAGACAAGATGCAGTGCGATGAGCCGGGCACACTTTTACCCCAACGTGCGTCATCTGTTGTCAAGACCGATGGCATCTGCGTAGGATACTGTGGTCCGAGGGGTCTAGGTAGAAAGCACCACGTTGTGAAAAGATCTCTGGACACCGCTTCTGTGGATGATCAGCCAAAAGACAACTTTCTTCTCAGTTCTATTTTCTATCTATTGTACGTTGTTTACACCAGAGTGTACTTTTCTTGATACGCAATCGGTCCCTTCTGGTAGTTCAAGTCCGTTGTCGTATTGTACTTCCACCAGAAATCCAGATACTCGGGATAACCGGCCTTTGCCACGCCACACATGTCTACGAAGTTGGGAATCTGATTGACAATATTGGCAAAGTCGTCCAGGGGACAGGAATAGCCAGGCCCGCTCTGGCAGTTTTGCCATGGGACGACAGCTTCATTCAGTACCGCACGGACAAACGTGCCCGGCTTACTCAGGGCCGTGGCATTACACGAGAGTCGCTCGAGCACCAAGTGTCCGCCCATGGGCACCATGTCGGCGCTGTTGTATGGATTTGGGAACGGAATCGAATTGTTCGGGAGAGGGCTGGAAGGGACGTTCAGGCCCAGAGCCGCCAGGACCGGCGTCATGTAAGCATCGTGGGCAAAGTTCCACGACATGCTGAGATGCGACGGCCCAGCTCGCATCAAAGCCAGTGAGGCGTTGGCGAAAACTTGGCCAACCGCGACTTGGTATGGGTCGCCTGGTCTGTGTGGGATACCCCAACGTGTGTTAGCCTCACAGTGTACTCTCTCGAAGCAGGTTCACAGGATCTATCATAGGTTAGGTAAAGAGACGTACCCGGAACAATAGTAGTACGACAGATCTTGAAGGTAGCCGAACGCTACCCATTCATCGAGCGTAAATGCCTCTACCCACGGCGAATGTGGTCGCGCTTGAAGTTCGAACGCCGCCAGACTCATGAGTGACTTGATGTCAGATGAGTTCAAGGTGAGGGCTGGGTTTTGGGAGTTGAATCGCTCGGCTGCGACTGCCAATGGTGGCAGCATTCTCTGAGTGTAAAAGCAGGCCAGCAAGCCGGTGTCGGAGAGACAGGTCGGCGTGAGACTGTCGGCACCTTGGGTATAATTCTCCGAGATGATGTTCATGGCCGCGCTGGTGGAATAGTTGTAGCCGAAGAAGCCCATACCGAAGTACCGCGCCGTCTCGACGACGCGTTCGTAGCCGCCGGCGAAGATGGGAACGGTAGATTCGCCGTCCCAGAGGTGTCCGTACTTGGAGCGGTATTCGGAACCACGTTTGAAGGCGTCCAGGAGACCAGAATACGGCCCAGAAAAGGTCTCCTGCTCAAAGTAACCGGGCTCAGATAGGAACGAAGTCCAACCATTCAAGAAGGAGAGATCGCCTTCCCATTTGGTAATGCCAGAGGCGTAAAGCTTTTCGAGGGCATGTTCGATGCTCGCGGCCGTGATGGAATCCGGGTAGCGTTCGCCGTGGCGCATCAGCATGATAACCTGATCAACTGCACAGGACTCTGGCGCATTAGGATCGATGCCGTAACCGACACGGTCGGTGTATGGCCCGATGCCGCCAGTGTGTTTGAGCACATTGTAAGAGTCGTAGAACGTCTGAGGGAATTGCTTGTCAAGGTACGTATTGTACCCGCGGGAAGCTGCGCACACACTGGATACCAGTAGGCTCGTGGTCAGAATACTGAAGAGAACCATCCTTCCTCACCAACGTAAAGTGACTGGGGAATGAATTTGGACGCAACATCACGTCGAGGGAAGAGCTCTCTCTTTATGCATACTTTCAAGAAGCTCAGGATAGTCTAGTTGGTGCTATGGACGATGAAAGGCTTGCGAAACTCGCGCCCACGTGGTAGACGATGCAGGAAGAGTTCCTGCATTGTTCTATACCGAAGGATACTAAAGGTTCCGAGAAGCTGGTAGATTATGCCGCACGTGAAATTTGTATGGACCCTATTGGTGACGTCTGGACAACGTATGGGTATTCATTGTCCTCGGGCATAGACGGTCAAGTTATAGCTTCAATAGAATCATTGCCGGTCATCTTTAGCTAAACTCTCTCATTAGAAGCTCCTCTCGGCCCATCCGTGGCTCGTAAATCAGCTGCTCAGCTAGGAGCAGAGCGGTAAGGGCAAAGAAGCCGCAGGGACGAGACCAAAGGAAGATCTCTCAATATTGACAAAAATCGTTAGCTTGGTTAGCATAGAGATTTAAAGAAATAAAGAATGCTTAAAGAAATATTTTTTACGCTTAAGCATTTGAGTCTTGACGGTGTTTACTACAATACATGTGCGAGGCAGTACGTAGTGCCCCCGTTATTCAGTGCACAATTCGGGGCTTAGCAAGCTGCCGTCAGGGCCGAAAGGTGGATTGGTTCCAGTACTCCGTATGGAGTATTCGCATCCGAGAACAGACACCAATCTCTGGACAGGTCAAAACTTGCTGCAAATAACACTGGCATTTTGTACATATTGGGGAAGCAAAAAACTTCCAATCGGCGCCGGAGACCGTACTATGTTATGCTCTAGTGATTGTGATAACATGTTCTCATGTAAATGACCATCATTATGCTAAAAAGCGTGGCTCGAAATTCTCCTTCTGGAACCTCCTCTATCTTTCCTTATTCGTTCCTCTTGTCTCGCCCAAGCCTATTAGACCTGGAACATCCTCTTCACGAAATTCGGCTTCTTGCCCGGCTCAGCCCAACTAGACCGTCGCTCTGCGACATTTTTGGCATCGTTTTCAGCAATGATATCCTCCCCAGTCTCGGCGTGGTCCATCTTGGACTCAAGATGGGGGAAGAAGCGGTTGAAGAGCCAGTAGAAAATGGCAGAGGAGATGAAGGAGTAGATGTAGCCGATAGCGAATCTGATGGGGGAGGTTAGCCGGGCGGAACTGAGGTGAAGGCGGAGCTGATTGGAGTCGAGGAGTTGAGCGGTACTTACAATCGTTGCCCACCTAGAGAAACACTGGTTGTGCCGTGGCCAGCGACAACGATGTTGTTGACGAAGCCCGGAAGCGGAGGGATGCAGCCAATGATGAAGGCAGCAAGGGCGCGCCAATTTGTTGCGAACCTGGGACTATAGCGATAGATACCGTGGAATTGGTACATATCCATAACGGAGACGTTACCGCGGCGGACGATGTAGTAGCTGCACAGTGTCAGTCATTGTGCACGTACCCGACAAGATTCATCTCCTGTCAGCTGGACTTGAAAACACGTACTCGCAGATCAAGATACCTGTCATTGGCCCCAAGAAGATTGTATAACCACCGAGGAAAGCGAGGAACTTTGCAGCCGAAGCAAGAATTTTCCACTACGCAAGATTATGTTAGCTGGGATTGTTCAACATCGCACTGAAGACCGCAATCACTTACCGGCACAAAAGCCCAACTGCCAATGAAGGCAGCTAGTAGCTGGCCACGTCGGATATTGATATATCGCGGTGCAAAAGCCATCAGATCGTTGGCCGCGCTGATGGAATTGGCGGAAATATTGATACCAAGTGTGACGATGATGAGTCCGATAGCGGCAAAGGCAGCGGCAGCCCGTCCACCATGCGACCCGGATTCCATCCATAGATTGATGATATCGATTGGGTTCCAGAGAATCTGGCCATAGGCAGTCTCAGCAGACGCCGCCGTGAAGATACCCAACAATCCAACGATGGTGAAGATGGCCGGGATGACTATAACCTGCACGTTCTGATCACTTGGCTTCTTAGCGTATCGCGAAAAGTCGGCAATGTTCAACCCGAGCGTCGCATAATTGCCCAGTACGCCGTTGAGATTGCTGAAAAAGGCCCAACCGAGCGCGGAGCCGTGAAGAAGGGTTGGCTGTGTGATGACGCTGCTGTGGCTGATTGTACCACCGGCGCGGCGAAGAGTATCGCCAAAGATGGCGAGGAAGCAAATCGGGGCGATGATGGACTTGAAGGCGAAGAAATATTGAACCTATCGAGTGTTATTCAGGCGAAGAAAAAGACAACAAAGACTGAGATGTCCTACCTTGGTGTAAGGAATACACAAGAATGGGAGCTGCAGCAAGAAGTATAGCAGAAATCCAACCATTCCAGCGCTGGTGATACCCTCATCCTTGGCAATGTGATTTGGGATGTTTTTGAACGACGGCCAGATTGCCGTGAGCAGCACGGTCATGCATTGACCACCCGTCGTGGTTTGAACACTGCACACATTGTCAATCTCAGTCACTCAAGACTTCAACGCGACCGGAAAGAAGTCGCGCAGTATGACTCACCCGAGCCACACAGTAGCCAATACGCAACGAGACAAGACGACGAAGTAGCTGAAGTAGTAGCCAAAAGGCATTCGTGCCAGTACCGGGAAAGGAGTGTGAAGCTGTGGCAAGTCAGCGCCCACTATACCTCCCCGTGCATCGAAAATGGCAATGACGTACTGTGGCACCAATTCGACCGTTGATCGTAATGACCAGACCCATGACAAAATTACCGAGCACACAAGCGCCGACTGCAAATTTCCAGTCCAGGCCAACCGATATCATGGACGAAGCTGCGCGGACTGTCAGCGACACTTCCGCCAAACACGATGACCACAGTGGCAACAAATCCGTCGCATGCGATGTCACTTACCGACTTCCCAATTACTAACGGCCCAAGCATCGGCCATCCAGTACGCGATATACGCGCCCCAATTCCATGTCCGCTTACTCGGCGGAATGGGATCAAAGTCGGCATTTGATGCGTTTTTGCTGGCGGCGAAAGAGCTGGGCTCCTGGCGCACTTCCCAACTAAAATGCGGGATGAATCGACGCTTCACGGTGCCGGTGTCGGTTTCATACTCGACCGGCAGGTTGGATGGCGAAGGAGAGGACTTGTCCTCGTAGTTAACGTATTTGTCGTCAGTGGCCATGACGTACGGCGAGGTTGTCGATGAATGCAGATTGTGACCAAGCGAACGATTCAGAGCGTCGGGAACATGGGAAGAAGGTTGCCAACAAGGGATGGGATGGTGTATATATAAAGACCCCTTGTGTCGCGTGCTTATGCACCTTTGTAGTGGTTGGGATGTCGAAAATTGAATTGTTTTTCAGCGTTATCACCGACGTCGAGATGATGCGCGATCAGCCGCACTCCAGAAAGCTTTAACGTAACGTTCAGTACACTGATAAGAGAATCGCAAGATGTGGCCACTAGCCTCGTGCATGATTGGCAGCTGTCTCTGAGATAAGAACCAACCGAGCACTGGCCAACAAGCTGATTGGCAACCCAGTTGAAAGTCCTCGAGCAATTCTCGTCCTTTGGCGGGCCTCGGTACCAGGGAGATCCGTCCATCGTTTCCTTTGGCGAACTTGCTTTTTGCAGGTCCTGCGCGCTGTGTGGCTGGCTGCAAGGTCAGGCATATCAGCAGGCATATCGCTTGGCTGCACCACGAGGCAACCCGACGTAATCGCATCGAGTAAAAAATGTACGTGATGAGGCACCCAAGCAGAGATAAAGAAATAGTTCATGCCTGTATCTCTCACCCAAACCGTGATTCCCAACTCCACTTGGTCAAAGAAATGTCGCGTGAAAGATCAGGCCAGACTCATTCCCCAGCAGAAGCAATATGGGGTGAATTAGCCTCAAGGCTGGTGAGGTTGATGAGCCCCGTGTCCCGATCGAGATCGGAGGGGATTTGAGGGTCTTTGCGCAGGCACAAGCTTCACTATCTCGAGCCAAGTACTCCGTACTCCATTCCAACAATGGGTTCCTTCGTTGTTGTTTTCGTCTCCCAAACACTTACCTACAGTAGGTACTGTTGCTCCTCATCTCTGTCGTCATTAACGATCACATCTCGTTCATCTACGGGGACTGCTTCCTCGAGCTCGCACTTCTTCTCACTGGAATCGACAATGAATCGCAACTGCGCCTTGAGCTCTCGACATCTTCCTTCCTAGCCTCTTTGTCCTTTACGAACCGATCCCAATGCCTATACATTAGCTCTCGCTTGGACTTGTTTGCGTGGCAAATACACCAATTCCTGCCGTCGGGGTGCAGTTAGAGCGACGATGGTCAAGAGTCTGGGGATGAGCATACCTGGCGCAAAGGATTCGTTTGACGTTGGCGTTTAATCTAAGTAGGGATCGCATGAGGTTCGTCGCTTTCGCTCATTCGTCCTTGAAATTAGCACGAGGTCTTCCAAAATCAATGTCCGACATGAGCATTTAGATCGTTGGCAGAATTTCCCGTGTGAAGAAGACCGTCGTTGCTTCACAACTGGCACACCAGGAAGCGACATCAGATGCTCGATCATTTTCATGCACATCGATTTTGACGCTTTCCTCTACATCAGATAACGTTAAGGGAGAGGGATAGTATGTTCATTGCGGTAAGGCTATGACTTTCCACGTTGCTCAGTGGTATCCCAAGAGAAGATCTAGCTGGAAGTCGGACTCTATGACGATGTCCACTTCTAGGCCATTAACCATATCTAGATTTATTGTACTCCGTATGCAGGCCAGATGCTCTGACAGCTCTACCATTAATCATTGATCTTGGATTCTGTACTCCATAATCCCCATATCTCCTGCCTCGAAGCTTCACTTTAACATCCCGAGGCGGGGTGTTCTAACACCCATAACAGACTCGAGGACGGGGCCTCTTATGGGCCGCAGAGTTCACCTAAATGCCCGCAACCCACTTTGCACTTCCCTAATCCTTGCGCGGCCTGTAGCATCCATGCAAAACAACGGCCGCTGTCTTCTCTCGATCGTGCGAGTAATTAAATACTCTCACAAATCTTTCCACCTGGCTTCACCAAACTTATTGAACTATGCACCAGCGAAGCCTCCTACAAAAAAAGGCCCAACCACCAGTTCTGTTATGCATCTTGCCGAGCCCATACCCCAATGAAGGGATTCCTCAACATGAGGAGGACGACTGAGATCCTGTTCTCGATCACCACCACCTTCGTTGTCCCTATCGCGTTTCTTACGAAGGTGGCCGGTAGTGGTAGATGCCCTGGTCTCATGTGATGTTGATGTACCTGTTGGGGGGTTTCCTGAAGATGTGCATTTGTACCAGCAATCAACCCCAGCTGTTTGGCCTGGGTTCTTCTTGCGTTACTCCGGAATTGGCCGTTACACTGAGACGCTTCAACGAGACGCTTCCGTACTGGAGCGTGATGTGCGTATGCACTATCTACAGACATATGGACTATGAGTCGCAAAGTCTGAGTGTCGTCTTTCTCAGTTTGTTTCCAAATTTTGCGCGCGCACTGGGCATCCGAATTCGCCTAATCAGATTCAGCCGAAAGAGCTATCAAATCGTGTCTTGACGTGAACCCAGTTGGTAAGCATGCTATCTTTTTCTCCCGTCTACACATGAGGCTGGCACTGAGGCCAAGCATTTTTGGTCGACGAAGTCATGTTTTACTTGTTGTGGCGCCTCCACCCGCTGGCCTTTGATTCCTACGCTTGCATTTTTCTCACAATCGGAGAATCTCGCCGTTCTAATATTGGAACTTGACACTAGATGGGAAGCCGATGACGAGCCAACTGGGTGCGGGCGATTCACAAACGAGAATATAGGACTTACAGTAGCTAGTCGCTGCTCCGACAGAACTGGCCCCACTGATAAGGGACGGAGTTGTTCGATCCTGGGGATTGTCATGCGTGAACGGATATCAATCTGACTACGGCCAGAAGAGAAAATGGCGTTGTTAAAACAGGCATGATCTCTTGCACTTCTGTACGTTCATCGCGATTAGCAAGTTGACTATGGCGTTGCGAAGCCTTACGGTTCTTCTCGAGCTAGGGCTCGTACATTATGTCCTCGCAGCTTTACTGTTGGGCATAATCGTTTGGGTATGGCGGGTAAGTCTCTCGATGAACTTGGCGGAGAGCAGTAGGTTGACCACGCGTGTATCAACACAGGAAGGACTCAAGGATGATGTGAAATTGGAGGGTATCCCAGAAGCACCGGGAGCTTTGCCTATCATTGGACATTTGCACATGCTCGGTGGTCGCAAGGGCCAGAACGACGCCACCATATTCTCACAATGGGCCAAATCAGTAGATTCTGACTTGTTCTCATGTCGACTGGGGGATCAGATTACGGTTGTGGTGAACACATTTTCCGCCGCCAAAGATTTATGGGTGACACAGTCTGCCTCGCTCCTGGACCGGCCTCAACAGCCTGGCTTCCTGGACAAACTTGGTGTGGACATCACCGGATCACCTTTCACAGATCAAATTCGCCGATGCAGAGCCGCAGCTATGAGAGCACTTGGGAAGAATATGTGGCCTGAATACTACCAGTTGTTGAAGCCGTCATCAGAAGGGCTGATCGTGTACTTGAAGGAACAAGGACAATCTGGCAAAGCCTTGGTGGATATTTATCCTAGGCTCAGGATCATGCTCTTCGACCTCGGCCTGTCGTTGACCTATGGGGTTCGCTACGGCCAATTCGACGACGCTTTCATGGACTCTTTCTTGACGTCGATCCTGGACATCACATCTGTACGCGCTTCAACGGCAAACTTCCGCTTCTACATCCGACTCCTCCGGTGGTTTCCTGAGCCCATGTCAAAGACAATTGCAGCTGAAAAAGTCCGTGCCGCACATGTCAAGGAAATCTACCAGGCGTACAAAGATCGAGTGGCACAGGACGGAGAAGTCAGTTGTGTTGTTTCCTCCCTTGGCTCCGATCGACTGACAGAAGACGAAATCCACGGGACATGTCTTTCTCTCCTTCAAGCGGCACCGGATACAGTTGCAACTGCTCTGTACCAATGTATTGCATTCCTAGCATCTCCTGACGGTAACTCGTTCCAGACCAAGATGCACGACTCGATTCTTGCTACATATGGAGGGGACAGGAGGCTCGCATGGACCAATGCTTTTCGAGAAGAGAAGGTTCCTCTGGTGACTTCTTTGTATAAGGAGGCGTTGCGATTCTACACCGTTACACCGTACAGTGTCCCTCACCAAACTACCAAGGAGATCCACTACAAAGGCAGAGTCATCCCGAGAGGGGTCGCGGTCTACATGAATGCTCAGCAGGCCAATCATGATACTGCTCATTTCGGACAAGATGCATGGTCTTTCAATCCGGAACGCTTCGTTGGGAACAACTCGCCGATGCCCCATTTGGGATTTGGCGCGGGAGGCCGCATATGTCCCGCCATGGCATTGAGCAACCGAATCTTGTCAGCCATGTTGATCCGGCTTAGTCTCGCCTTCGAGATGAAGCTAGGAGACCCAAAGGCCGGTGCACGAGTTCCGATTTTAGATCCTATTGATTTCTCAGCTGTCCACACCGAGCTTGTAGCCGCACCACGAGGGTTTCGATTGTAGATTCCAGCCTCGCGACCTGAAATGGTTGGACGAGCTCTCGCTGCAACTGAAGTAGTGTTGATCTCTGCCGGCACACACACTGCTCATGAGACTCAAATCATGCAGGACCAAGTCATACTGTGGCGGCGGAGTGATATGTATACTTGATGGGTGTAGGAGATTGTTGCTACCATTGAATGCAAAAGGTTCACGTGCATCATTTAAGAACAACCAACAGGAACATGCACCTGACTTCAAGCCATTGGTCGAAGGTAGCAACAGAATCTAGGCTAAGACCATGAGACGACTCGATGATGTTACATGAAGCCGTCGTTCCGCTGAGCCTTAGTCTAATCTCTTCATTCATGATTCTGTACGGCATCACCCCCGCCCCTCGGAAGAATCTATGAAACTTTAGTAGACGTGGTCGGTGGGACTGAGGGACAGACTCGTAAAGGCGATGGACGATAGAGGTTTACTAATATTCAAACGGCATTACACATTAATGCCAATGGGATAGAGAGATTTAGGCTTCCATTACATTGCTTTCTACCCTGCTTTGAAAGTTTTATCGCGCGCGCAAAGCACCATCTCCCTCCCTAACGTGGTTTACGCTCTTCGAAAGACTTCAAACCCATCACCGAATTCGCTATCCATATATCTGTGCAGCACTAGTACAATAGATTCACAGCAATATGAACACCTACGACCAAGCCATTGCTCGAACGCTGATCACGGCAACCATGCACAAATATGCCTGGCACGCGCGTGAGAAGGCCGACTGGGACAAGATCGCGGAGTGTTTCGAAGCCGACGCCATATACCGCCTCGGTGACGGGCGTGAACTACCGCCGTCTCAAGCCAAGGAGGTCGTTCGGGGCAAAGAAGCCAAATACATTCGGCACAACATCACCACCATCAACATCGAATTTGTCAGTGACACCGAAGCACGTACCGATGCTCTCTTCTTTGCGACGACCGAGTATAAAGTAGTCGACCATTGGGGCCATTGGGTTGACATCTTTCGCAAGCAACCGGACGGGTCATGGTTAATTCGCGAGCGCAGCATTCGCACGGAGGGCAAGGATCCAGAGGGCTGGTCTGCGAAAGTCTACGCGGATGTACCGGCGTCCGTTCCGAAGCCAGAATAGTAGTAGACATCAATACGCTCATTTCATAATACAATCCTGTGCATTCCAGTGTCAGTTCACTTCCTTTTTTTTGTCTACAAGCTACGAAGGCCTTCGTAAGCTGTAAACAGTCTTTCTTCATATCGTGGCACAAACGAAGATAGCGAGGTCAGGTACTAGCCAATCATGAAGAAAAGGCCTAGCTTTACAAGGCCTAGATTGTGGTCCGGGAATGGGGGTGGGGGTGGAGCCGAAGGGCCAAATAGTCCCGTCTCTCCCTCTTTGTTGACTCCGTGGGTGGACTCCTCAATTGCACTCCCGTTGTCAGCACAACATAGTTGAGACTGTAGAGTATCGGCTACCCTGGACCGGCGTGTCGGCTGAGATGATTTCACGCAAAGCGAGCAATGGGAGCAGAAGCCCCTCCCCAGGGGTTCCGACATACCGATCCTTCAGATTATAACTTGGTCTTTTGAGAAGGTAAGATATTCTGTGAGCATTTCTTGAGAAGCTCGTCTTTGTCAGAAAACCTCGTTGTGCCCCGTCAAGAAGCTTATCCATAAACCATTCACCAATCTCATTGTTTTGTGGCTCCACGAAGATGCCGGAGAAGACATTTGAACCTCAAGTTGTTGTCATCGGAGCAGGGCCTGTTGGATGTCTTCTGTCACTGCGTCTTGTCCGAGCGGGCATTCCAGTCTGTCTGATCGAAAAGGATCCGGAGATTCAACCACATTTCAGGGCTTTGGGGTACCCCGGCTCTACGCATGCCGCGCTCTACAAAGCAGGCATCTGGGAAGAAGCGAACGAACGAGGCTTCACCAAAGAAGGATTCTCGTGGAGAAAGCCACCTCGGCTGCTGAAGGAGCACGAGACCGAACTGCCCTGGGGCGATGTCGTGGTGAACTGGAATCCATACATTGACTCGCCACTCAAACCGGGAGATATTGGCTACGGCATGATCGCGCTGCCTCAGAACAAATTCAGAGAGATCATCATGCCCAGACTGCTTGCTGCGTCGGAACTCGCCGATGTACGTCTGGGCTACGAGATGGTGAAGCTCAGTCAGAACACGACGAGCGTGACGGTGACGGCAAAAGGGCCAGGCGGTGAGCACCTCGAGATTACGGCGCCATATCTTGTCGGCGCGGACGGCGCAAAGTCGATGGTGCGAAAGAGTCTCGGCCAGCATCTGGAGGGCTTCACCTGGCCAGACATCGTGGTCGCAGTGGATGCGTATGTGAATCTCCCAGCACCCGCGGATAGTTTTCCGAGCCTATACGTGCTCGACCCCAAGGACTATGCCTTCATGGCCAAGATGGACCGTCCTGGAGAGAATGGAAAAGATCGAGACCTCTGGAGGATGACGATTGCTATGAGCCCCGAGGAATGTGAGCCTGACGTATTCGATCAGATCTTGAAGGAAAAGATCGAGAGATTGACGCCCGGTCCCAGACCGCTGCGCTACGAATTACTGCGTGCTCAACCGTATCGTCTCCATCAGCGACATGTCCAGTCCATGCTTCAGGGTCGATGTCTTCTTATCGGCGACGCCGCACATCTGACGAATGTAAGTTGAAACCCTTTGTTAGTTCTTGGCTTTTCTCTTGCTGACTGTTGCGATAGCCTTTCGGCGGCCTTGGCCTCACAACTGGCATTTTGGATGCAGACTCTCTTGGCGACTCACTGCTTTACGTTCTGAAAGAAGGGCGCTCTGCCGAAATCCTCCAGCGCTGGGCCGATGCTCGCCTTGCGGTTTTCAAGGATATAGTCAGCCCGGCAGCAACGGAGAACAAGCTCCGGTGCCACGAGACCAGTATGGAAGATCCATATTCTGACCCCTTCTTCAGAATGGTACGCGACAATGCACCGGAGCTCGTTACGATGAATCAGGGTTTTCAGAGAATCGTGACGGATATGAGCAAGCTGCTGGGCAAACGGCCCGAGCTGGGTCCAGATCCCCGGGCAGCCTTGTGATCAATGTTTCATTCTGTGGTGTAACATGTACAAAGGTTAAGGCTCTCGGGGTGATGCAGAATGGAGGACCCTTCATCGTGCAAATGTATCAAGAGAACATCTTGTGAACGCGGGACCTAGAAATGATAGTCACGTTGAGTTCTTGATAGGATACGAGGATTGGTCCTCTCTTCACAAATTGCAATGGAAATGACCTTTCTTGGGACCATCTCAAAAAAGTGCAGGATCCCGTTGAGCTCGAATACTGGACGAGATGCGGATCTCTCTCTTCGCAACAAGCAATCAATCGTGCATACAATCAAGATACTGAGTCGCTGAAAGTCCAGGCCAAAGCCGATAGCACCATGTACTGTACTTCCTTCTTGCTTCGATCAAGTTCTTCATGCCTCTGTACTATGTCGAGTCGTCACTTTCTCTACCGGACTCACAGCCCCCACAACCTCAACTGGAGCGTCAATGTGCAGGTTGAATTCGCTCTTTGGATCTCGGATGAAAAGAGACGCTGTAATCAATATCAGCCATGTTGCGAGAGTGAATGGCAGACTATGTAAGCTGCTTACCAATAAGCGCTGCTGCCGCGAATGATCCAGCAGTTACCCAAACATAACGGAAACAAACAACATACGTCTCTTTCACGGCCAAAGCACCTGCCGCAATGATGGCCTCGTTGACATGGGGAATGTGAGCCAGAGCCGTTTGGTTGCCGGCAGTAATTGCTCCAATAAATGGTCCAAGCGAAGATTCAGGCAATCCCAGTGGCAGAGTTGCAGCCGCGATCTTGGGCCCTAGATTATTGCTCATACTGGAATTAAAGACGGCATTGTATATAGCCAGACCGACTGTGCCTCCCAGGTTACGAACGGCAATCACCAATCCTGTTGTCGTTGAGATCAATTCAGGAGGGGTTGCGAACTGCGCCAGGGTCATGAGGCATACGATGCACAGTGCAAGGCCACTGCCGGCAATCACGGGATAACCCCAGAAATTTGCAGGATCAGTGTGCACGTTGACCGTAGCAATTGTTGCAAAGAAGGCCACAAACAACAGGAGCGCAAACATAGCAGGTGGCCGTAGAGTCTTGGTGTGGTAAGACCAGGCGCCGCCGACTGCGGAGATCGGTATGCTTGCGATGAAAGCAATACCAAAATGCAGGCCTATCATCAACGGGTCCGTCGTGAAGAGTATGCTGGTTTCAAATGGGAGATAGTTGTTGAATGAGAAGAATGAGAGTCCCTCGGCAAAGAGACAGCCCAATGCGATTGGGAAGTTTCGATGGCGGAAGAGACTGTGGTGGATCATGCCGTCCTTTTTGATAAAACACACATAAAGGACCAGACATATGAGAAGGACAACACCAACTGCAAAAGGCGCCGACACGCGGGCATCCGACCATGGATACGGGTTTTGTGACCAGGACAGTCCAATGCAGAACAGAACCAGTCCCGACGTGAGAAGAAAGTATGCGGGCCAGTCGAGCTGGCGCATCTTTTCCTTGAATGTAAGATTCTTTTGCAGGTCTCGAGGAGGTGGATGGTAGAGTAATCCCGTGGCGAGGGCGCCTAAAGCGAAAACGCCAGCACAGATGTAGAAGTAGATGCGGAAGTTGGCATTGTGGCCGTATCGTGTCAAGCCGCCGCCAATCAGTAACGCAACAAGAGCCGCGGCGGCGCCCACGAAGTTGACAAAGGCCTGGGCATAGGATCTGAGCTTGCGAGGTACAACCTCCGAGGAGACCGTCGGGATAAGGGGCTGAGCTCCAAAGGCTATTCCGCTGAAGGTGAAGCCGACCAGCAATGTCCCAACATTTTGAGCTCGAGAGATGATGAGACTGCCGACAACGCCCATGCTGGTGCAGAAGATGAGCAGCCATTTTCGGCCCCAATAGTCGGCAGCTTGGCTGATAGGCGGAGACAAAACTGTTGTGACTATGGTAATGATGGATGTGAACCAAACGGTTTTGTCCTCCCCACCAACGACAGCAGTGATATTGCGAGCCAGGGATCCAGAACCCACAACGCTGATGAGCTGAGCGACGTAAACCAAGTTGATTGCCTAGACACGTCCATATCAGTTGGATATGACCAGGAAAATATAAGGAAGGAGATACATACCACGATGAGCAAGTAGGTCTTGATATGGATCTCTCCATTAGCCTCTTGCCCTATGGGCAGCTCCTCGAGCTCGTCCTGTGAAGATTTCTCTATCATGCTCTCGAGTGTCTTCATTTTTCAACTGGTTATGAAGAGTAAAAGAGTATCAATGAGGTCTGCGTTGGATGCCAGAAGTTATATCTTTCTCGTGAACTTGGCAGTCAAAAAATGACGAGTAGCGTGAGAGTCCACAGTATGTAAAGTCTGGAGTGGATTTGTGGGGTGGCTTGGGGATAATGAAACCAACTTAGAACACGGTTTCGAGCCGAGTTACAATCCGTTGCCCATCGACAAGCCATCACATGGACCATTACAGCTGCTCGAACAGCATGAGCTGGGACAGAGTCATTCTAGTCAGCCGCGGGCCGGGGGGTGGGGGTAGATTCAAGGAGGCACGGATCGGAGACAAAATTCTGCTGATGATTAACGCCTGATTATTCAGTGGCCTTCTTAGTAGGACAAATATTTCACTAACGCGGCAAGGTTGCACAAAAAAGAGAAGTGGCTGTCAACGCTCCTGCTAGGAGACGATGGGAATTGTACGAAGTAGTTTCATGTTAAAAAAGGTCACTGGGAAAAGTATTGCACTCATTCATATCAGGTATACCGGATGGGTATTCTCAGAAAACTATCGTACTCCCCACCGGTGTGAACGACGTGTACCCCATTTTCCGGGTTATGGTCCTCAGGTTCGGTCATCGTCATAGCCTTTGTCTCAGGCAGACATTTACTATGCCCTGAGACTCTCAACATGATGCCTTCACCAGCAGCAAAAACCATGCCCATCGGCCACATAGGGATTTCCAAGCGCACAACTGTATTTACTGGGACCGGCTCGGAGCAATCGTGGCGGTAGAATGGTTGATCACCTAGGTAATGCTGAGGCTCAATGGATACACGGTGGGAAGCGCGCAACATGCCGGTACCTCCCAAGTATGTTGAAACATTGGTTTGATCTTGGGGAGGAATAGGTGTAGGCGTAGGATAGTTATGATGCACCAGCAGTTCCCCATCGACAGACAGTTTACGCAGTTGTATATGAACGTCCATATCCTCGGCCGAGGCTGTCGATATGTGCAAACTTACGAGCGGATATCCACTCAGCTCACAAGCACGCAGAAAGGTATATGTAAAGTCCGCCGAGCCAGATAGATTGTGCGAGGGGTACGATACCTGTGACTCGTCTTTGGGACTACTTTCTTGCATGGCGAAAGTAGATGCATTGAGGTGCAGAATCTGCTGGTCAAATCCTGGAGGCGGGTAGCTCTCTGTCGGGCGCTCAATAATCGATTTGGCCTTACTGCCGTCCATGGCGAGCAGTGAGAGTCGTACTCGAGGTGTTTCTTCCCAACCATTTTGAAGACCCTTGGCGTAGTGATCGTAGAAACGCTGAAGATCGTCGTTCATGTCTGCTCGATACAGGTCGTGCCACTCCTGATAAGGATGGACACGAAGCCATTTGTCTTTGGTTTCCATGGTGAGGAATGACTCGAACGACCCGAAACCGTGCAGCATGCTCGAGTAAGATGCAGTCAGATATACAGGAATGCAGTCAATTCGACTGACGTGGACCCGCTTTGATGCCCAGTAGTCGTCGTAGAGTGGGTGTTCTTTTGTCATTGTAGGCATGTCCTCGGCAGAGTGGCGTCCTGCAAAACTAGCCATGATCATCTGATTGAACTTGGCTATCTGTGGTGCACCACCGCGACATCTCGACTGTTGATAGATATCAGTGGCACCTTCCCAGGGAGCAATGGCCTTGAGTGCTGGGTGTTTCAGCCGGGATGCGAAGTTGATCTGGGCGATAGCGAGCCAAGAATTTCCTCTAATCAAACGTTAGCCTCTAGATCCTGGGATTACGAGGATATACTAACGCCATAACGACCGATCCATTACTCCATGGCCGTTCATTTATCCACGATATTGTGTCATAGATGTCTTCCGCCTCCTATCCACACATATGTTAGCGATGAGATCGATGGAGCAATCGAAGCGACCGACCTGTTGACCCCAGAAAATTGCATCCCCTTCTGAATCACCGATCCCTCGACTGTCGATATTCACAATAGCATAGCCTCGCTCAGACCATTCAGCCGGATCAAGACCTTCAAACTTGTGATACCCAGAGACTCGTTCTCTAGGAACACCACAATTATGAGGCCCCATATTCTCGTAGTGCAAGAGCCCTGCGCAACAAGAAGGGTACTTGTACTTAGTAAATTGAACACTACTCAAGAAGTGTCAACGTTAATAGGAATTGAACCCACCATTGCCAGTTTTACCGTAAGGTCCCCAAAGAAGCACGGCTGGAACTTGGTTGATCTCAGAATCTGCTGGTCGGAAGACATCTGTGCATAGTTTTACACCGTCCCGCATTGGCACCGCAGAGTCACGATCGTATGCAGTGTCGCAACCAAAAGGTCTTCTTCCTTCACTCTTGACATGGCCTGCTTTCAAGATAGTCGTTCCAGGCTTGAAACCAGAGTATACGTATGGGCCATAAGTCTCAGGGGTTGGGAGCTTGACTTTCCGGACAGTGAAACCTGCCATGATCTTCGCCGAATGCAGGATCTTCTTTGCTGACCTGCTTGTATTCAACTTCTTGATTGCTTTGAAGTGTATGTATCTTTCTTTATCGACTGGAAGTTCTTTTATTGAGCAGTGCCGAGATCAGCCGATGTTGCGGGCTGTGAAACCTTGCTTGAACCCGTGTTCAGCTTCCCCCACCCCCACCGGGACGCAACTCGTTCGATCCCAGACAGTCTCTGCGACTCACAGCATTCCCACATACTACAGAGAAATTGTCCCGATGCCTGATAAGCGAAACCAGGGGTGAATCTGGGGTGCTGACAAACCTGTTTCTTTCCTGGGGGCGTGTTGTGATAACGAGCCCCGTTCAATCTCGTGGGTCGTACTGCATTTTTGCGGTACTCGGCTTCATCTATGTTGAAGAAGTCAAATATATGGTACATCACTGCGGTGTAACCAATAGCTTTTCAAATGAGCCTCTTCAGTGCATGTCATTGCTGAATGAATGCTGGTTATCCCCCTGGGGTCTTATGCATCCATCTGTGGCTTGTTGACGAGGCAGATAGCAAGAGGGTCGACCTTTCATTTCATGACATTAATTGTCTTCATCACGTCTCATTGGGCCGCAACTGCAAAATCATATATACCATTGTTGAGAGCATGCATCTTGTAAGGTGAATCAGAGAGGAGGATGTGAGGAGGCTGAACCGTGAGCATGTGGATGTAAACTTGTCTCCATTCAGGTTAGTGTAATCTGGAGCGTTTAAGAGGGGTAGTTTCTCGTACTTTATGACTTCCAACCTTCATACATTCATACGACTTGTACTGTTAGATCAAGCTCTGCTGGCTGGCGAAATGACGCCTCAACCAAGGCTACGGTATTGCTGCCAACACTGCGATCAAACTTTCTCTCGCAAAGAGCATCTGAATCGGCACCAGTCGAAGCGTATTGCCGAATTGCCCCAAACCTGTTAAGAGATGACCACATACTGACTCCCTTGTCTTACTAGACGGCCAACGCCGTAGCTTCAAATGCACAGACTGCTCTTCAGAGTTTACGCGCAGGTAAGACTCCGTTGATGTTTTCCTTGTGGCATCACCAATGTTCATTCTCTACAGCGATGTCCTTCAACGGCACCAAGCCCTTCATCAACCGGTTGTCGGCGAGATCTTGCTGAGGAACCCAGTCATGAATCAGGACTTGGATGACGCAGTTCAGCAATCGTCTGTCTTCAAGGAATCACGTACAGCCGTCGCCTGCGACAGGTGTGCTAAAGCAAAGATCCGATGCAGCGGACAATTGCCTTGCCACCAGTGCATAAACCGGTCATTGGAATGCACCTTAAACCGACCTCACGTCTCTCGCAAAAGACGCCATCTGTCTTCAAGTCATACCACTTCAGCGTTTACTGCCGATCGCATATCGCCTTCCATATCCCGCTCAACAGCACAAAATAAACAAGACCCCGCCTCGGCCAGCGGTTGGGGCCACACAATCGAAAAACCTGTCGCTACAATGCCATCGAGCCCTAATCATAATATAAACCAGCTGTGCCTTCATGTCGACGACGATTCAAATTTCCAAAATGGACAGGAGCAGGAAATGGCACCTCCAAATGAGTTCGATCTCAACTTTCCGAGTCCTAGGTACTTCTTTCCCTTAGATGCTACATGGCCTTTGGATGATTTGAATGCTTTCGATGAGAATAGTCCATATTCTACGCAAGGCTATCCACAGCTCTTCTGGAGATTCGACCAAGATGTAAGCTCAGCGCTTGTCGACAATGCAGATCTCGGCGTGGCTGGAAAAGACGTGACTGAGAAACCGGCGGACTCGAAGACAAAGTCTAATTCAGTTACTACCAGCAGCCCTTATGCTCAATCCCCATTTATTTACTCCTTCAGAGCTGGACCGGTGATCAAAATCCCGAAGTTGATTCAATTTTTGCAGAGCCAAGCCATCTGGAAGCGATTGAACTTTGCATTTTCATCAAATGAACCGCCCGAGTCTACACCTTCGAGGATTGTTGAGCCTGTGAGAGATGCTATCGTCGCGAAGATATACACCATGCTCTCAAAATTGATCGAGAAGGACACTAGCAGGAAAATCCCTCATCTTTTCCCGCCCTTGAAGACTATTCAACATCTACTGGACACCAGCCGGAAGACCTTATGTCCGTTCTATCAGGTCGTACATCCAACCGCTTGGGTTGAGTCGAGCTGGGACAGCGATGAGCCCTATGCAGACAGTGGTCTCTTTTTCACGTCGCTCATGGCGCTCGGCTGCATGCTCGCTCCAGTGGAGGAAGCCCGTTCGTTCTCTGTTGAGCTCGCTTATCTGGTGCGATACAACATCGTGGAGAATGCTGCCCTGGACGAAGCTCACCTCATTGATAAGTGGGTGATCACCGCATGGATCATGAACGTGGTATATAATGCTTGGTCTGGGAACAAGAGACACATGGAGCTAGCAGAAGCATATCAGGGAACATTTAGTGCTGTATGTTCTGCCAATGACATGTTATATCACGAATCAAAACTAACCATTGTCATAGTTCTTTCTGAGACGTGGTTACTACGACGCCATACCCCCCTCCAGCAACCAGAGCCTTGAAACGAACCTTGCATCTTGGTCTTCCTGGATTGACACAGAAAGAAGGCGCAGGTAAGATGAGCGGAGAGAAGACAACGAACTTACACTCACCATTGTCGCAGATTTTGCCAAGTATGGTATATCCTTGAGCAGGAAATCAGTCTCTTTTACTGCGTTACACCTTCAATTGACTTCACAAAAATTCGTTGTCCCATGCCGGTGGCAGACGCGTTCTTCTTGGCAGAGACCGAGGAGGAATGGGAAGCTCTGGTTCTGGAGGCATCAGAAGAGGGAAAATCTAGCACTATACTTCGTCCACTTTCACTAGCAACCTTTCATGTCCTCTTCTTGCGACCCGACTTCTTGCAATTGGACATTTCAGTAACACCACTTCAGTTGCGTCTACTGCTTTCAGCTATCCAGGCCCGGATCACACAATACTCTCTGACACATCGCTGGATCCCCGTTGAAGAAAGATTTGCATCTTCTAGTGATGTCTACAACGACGGCAATTTCCTCCTTCTTCGCCAGCAGGAGGAATTTGAGAATATGCTCCTGAAGTGGAATACCTTGGCCAGTCGTGTTTTTGAGCAACATCCCAACTCCGACCAAGAACTGCCATGCTATCTGACGGCACAGATGGTGTGGCTAGAGATATGTATCTGCTTCGACGACATCCAGATGATTGCTGGAAAGGAGGGCTTCGAGACAGGGAGGCTCTACCTTCCACGCCTCAGACACTGGGTCCGGAATTCGATGGCGCGAAAAGCCATCGCACACGCAGGAAATGTTCTCGAACTTGTCATGCGCAGTGACTCGCACGTCCTAAGGCCGATTTGGTGGCCTTTAGCAGTCTGTCGGGCTGCTCTGGTACTATGGTGTTATAGCGTCGGTCTGTTTGTCGACACCGACACCACTACTGGAGTGGCCCCGGCGTCATTGGCCCGCTCTGTTCTGGTCTCTCTGAACGTTCCCGGCAATCTCCATGATCCCATTGGCAGAATTGTTCAACAAGGAGAAGGGATGCCATGTATTCAGGACTCAAGGGGAGCCTTCGTACCTCTACATGACATTCCCGGTATTCTGGACTTGTGTATAAGACTGCTTGAGAACCCACCAGGTTACAATTCGCCCATTCTCGGAAGTATGCATCAGTTTCTACAAGACATTAAGCAATGCGGAGTGCCCTACTCGCCCTTGTAGTACTGTGTATATGAGGATTTAAAATAGACTTACTCAGTGCCGCCGGACAGACTTAGTTGGACACTGCTAAATCTCATTCTATAGGAGTATATAGTGAGCATATGAGGGACGTCATGTCCGCCTCAGGAGTTATTGACAATGCCTCAAATTGGCCTCCTTAGGCCCCGTTGTCAGACATGAACATCACGTAACGTAGCATTATATTCGTTTGTGTTTTTGAGATAGTCGACTAGACAGCCGACATTCCAATCGTTTCCTTCCACCATGACCGCATTTGCTGCATCTTCTACGCAGACTCTGTCCAGTCTTCGAGAGCCATCTGCCCCCACGTCTTGGTGGGCGCGCCATCCTCATCGACCGAAATTCAGGCACAAGAACAGTATCGGAAGGAATGAGACCCAATTCCCTCAGACTTTCGAGCCATCGCTGGCGGAGTGCCTTTGGTCCGTTGTTTTAACCCTCTCGTACTTCTTGATAGGATTAAGTAGCGCTTCAAGCGGCCAATGAGGTGCCTAAAGTGGCAGACATGCAAAAAGTTCGATTCAGGAGGTAGCAAAGCTAGTATTTCAGCTGCTGATGATGAATGTGACGAATCAGTCGCCCTTCTTTTCTCTCCTCGCCGTCCTTTAGATAGTCCATTAACACTTCCGTGCAGTTATCAGTGCTGTGGAAGCCCTTGAGCAGCTGTTTAGGGGCGACAAGCTCATTGTCTCGATAATACATATCGTTGGATGAAAGATGCCATAATCCAAGTTGATGTCCTTGAAGCATAATTCAAAACTGTCGTTTACCAGGCAATCCTTGCAAGAAACCCGTGGGGCCAAATCCTCACAGCCAACTTTCTCAGCTCATCCATGGAAAGAATACCCAGAGCCAGCGGCAATGGTATGAACCAAAACTCGAGGGGTGCACTTGCAGTGTTGAAGAGGCTCTGAATGCCTGGTTCTTGTGTCACAAATATCGCTATGGCTAGAGAAACCATTACCGAGGCCAATAGCCAAGGGTTCCTTCTCTGCTTGCGGAAAGGGTCAGCCTGCAAGATCGACAGCTTCTTGTTGCGGATCGACAAGATGTTTCCCCACTGTAAAATCACCAGTGTGATGAAATAGACGGATTGGCCGGTAACATTGAAGTGCGTGAGTTCGGCTTGAGTGTAGCCATGAAAGCCTGCCGAGTACTTCTCAAAGGCAAACCACAAGTCCCCAATGGGAATCTTAGCATGTCGCCAATAGTACAAGAAGTACATCGAGTGAGCAATCACGGTTTCCATGACGCCCATGAAAAGGTATGATTGTCCATAGATGCGCAGATTGATCAAATGTTCTTTTTTCCGGTCCCGGGGTGGTAAGCTCAGAAGATCAAACTCTTCCTTTTCCAGGATCAGGCTCAGCGAGCAGAATAGATCCGTGAAGACGCAAATGATGATCATCAAGAACGACGACAGTGGCAACGGAACTCCAAAAAAGACGTTGAGCAAGACTGGCCAGATCTCAGACCAACTACCTGCTGGTAAGAGGTAGCCAATGACCTTCTGCAAGTTCTGAAAGACAAGTCGGCCAAGTCTGATGCCATCGACAATGGAACTGAACTGGTCGAGTAGCACCAGATCCGCAGCTTCAAGCGAAACGTCGCTGCCATTAACCATAGCAATACCGACGTCTGCTGCCTTCAGGGCTGGTGCGTCATTGACGCCATCCCCAGTCACCGCCGTAGAGAATCCGCGATGCTTCAGCTCCTTGACGATGCGTAATTTGTGCTCAGGAGTGCATCGCCCGAATACCACTTCTTCGTATGCACAGGTGAGGTCCCAGTCGCCTTCCTCAAGTTTGTTAATCTGGTCTCCCTCCAATAGCAAACTTTGGTTGCTAAATACTTCTGGGGAGATTTCCTGCTTGGTGGCGCTGGGGCGTCGGCGCAAGATGGTGTCAAAGTTGTCGGGGTCGCGCTCTCCTGAGAAAATGCCTGTTTGCCGTGCGATGGCAGCGCCAGTAAGCCCAAAGTCCCCTGTCATCATGAAAAAACGAATACCTGCCCTCCGGCACGCCGCTACCGTGACCGCAGCCTCCGGACGAGGAGGATCGAAGATACCAACAATCCCTATGACAGTAAGATCCTGGATCGCAGACCCTTGCAATTCTTGTGCAAAGCCATTCGAACCAACTGCGTTCGAAGGTGTGAGCTCTTTCTGACACAACAAGATGACACGCTCTGCATTGCGAGACATCTTTGTCTGACACCCCATCAGATCCGCTCTGGCGGTGTCGTCCAACTCCAGGATTTTTCCACCTTGATAGGACCAGTAACTCGTACATTTCGGCAAGAGCACATCGGGTGCGCCCTTGACCAGCATAAGGTGTGGGGGTTTCTCAGAACACCGTTCCTGAGAGTGATTGTGCACCGTGACCATGAATTTATTTTTCGAATTGAACGCAATTTCAGCCAATTTCGCATGAGTATTGCGTACCTCGATGCCTGGCCGCGCTGCTTCTGCAAAACGTAAGATTGCGCCGTCGGTAGCATTGCCCTGTGTCAGACGATCTTCGGGAGGCTATGTGAAGGATAAAATCAGCCAGGATCCAATGAATATGGGACGCGCCAGAGGGGTTTCAGCAAGGTCGACTGGTAATGCAATGCAAATGAGAGTGACTTACCTTATCCAAAGACAGAGGATCGAATGTTGCTTCATTGCATAAGTGAGCTGCTTTATGCAATGCTTTCAAGGGTTGCGATTCTTCATTATCGTTGAATACCGTTGTGGCATCACTCGCCGACATTAAATGGTCCACGAATCCCACAGTTGTGACTCTCATTTGATTTTTAGTTAGAGTGCCAGTCTTATCAGAGCACATCACTTGGACGCAACCCAGGGTTTCGACTGTAGCGAGACTTTTTGGCAAGACGTTGGCAGCTTTCATCCGGCGAGCAATCATCATCAACGTCAATGCCACGCCAACCGGCATACCTTCCGGGATGAAGGCCACAACGCACCCCATAACATCGTTCAACATAGCGACAACGTTCATGAATGCAAAGTGATCCACTCGCAACCAACCAACCCATGTAAACAGGATCAAGGTTGCGAGGAAAGCGGTCAAGCAGCAAATGATTCTGACGAAGCGCGCAATTTCGCGTTGTATGGCTGTTGGCCCTTCTTTGATTTCAGACGTAGCTGTGGCAATCGCCCCCATGACCGTGTTGGGTCCGGTATAGATGACAAGTCCTATAGCGCTTCCATTGGTGACCATGGTGCCTAGTAATGCTATGTTCCGAGTTTCCAAGAAGTTGTCATCGGTGGCTTCGCTTGCACCTTCAATTTCCTCGCTTTCTCCCGTCAACGCGGACCTGTCGAACCGAACATCGTCAGAATTTTTGATGAGGCGCAGGTCTGCGGGAACCTTATTGCCAATGCTTATCCGAACGATGTCTCCAACGACCAAATCGCTTGTTTGAACTTTCGTGTAATTGCCATCACGAAGCGCAAAAGCATCCGACGGCAGCATGTCGAGAATAGAGTTCATGGTCTTATGTGTTGACCAATCTTGGAACGCCGAGAAGCTGGCCTGAAGAAGGATGACGATGATGACAAGCACGGCGAGCCCAAGGTTGTACGGCGCGGGATCTGGATCGCCCAGTGGTCTCCAGCAAATGAAGAAGATGATAACACCAACCCAAAGAATCGAGCAAAAGCCACCGAAGATATAGCCGAGCAATTTCTTCCAATAATTTGTTTTCTGCCGTGGCAGGATATTCTTCCCATCTTGCTGTAGACGCTTGGAAGCTGCTTCTGAACTTAACCCTACATTCGGGGACACTCGATATCGGTTACAAAGCTCATCTGCGCTGACCATATGTTGGTCTGCTTGTGCAAAATCCTTGCTTGTATGCTTTTTGTCCTTTCTTTTCTCGCCCGCGGCGGATGCGTCCTTGTCGTACTGGCTTCTTGACTCGCTGACGTTGAACGACAAAGTTCTAAACCCGATAGGTATCCCGGAAATTTGATTACTTCTTGAACGGATGCTGTTGATGGAATCTCGACGGCTCAGAGGACGGCCGCGAGGGCGATTGGGAGTTCTCTCATCGTCGCGGTCAAGGAAACGATCCGGAGGTTGTTGTTCTTGAAAGAAAATTTGACGGCGAGATGGCGCATCGGGGGTAGGATCGAGCATGGTCTGCATGCAAACTTCTTTCTCCTGTGAAGCAGGCTGCTTCGTGGTCATCTTGGCGGGCAAGGTCAGGGCGGTATGTCAACGCTGACAAGAAATCGTGAGATGTTATTGCAGTCATTCCTTCTATACTGGATTCACACTATTATATTCATAGTACAAAGTAAACGTCCCAACTTTGCAACGTTTCATACGGAGACACGAGTGACAGTGATCTATTACCCAATATTTGCATAAGAGAATCATTTAGTTGAACTCATTCCACGCAGCAAGGTTCGCCTCAAACCAATCTCGTCGGACCCACAAGTGATGTGTTCACCGTTGACAACCAAGTCGAAGGGTTCGCGAGACACGATACTTCTATGAGTCCGCGCTGTGAAGTAATGGAAATAGATCGCAGTGAAGACAGTACTAGGTTAGTGAGACCATTGCTTCATACTTTAAAGTGAATGAGACGTTTTCTGCGCTGCCAGTGGGGAGAACCCATGGAGAGTCACCATGCTGTGACAGCACGAAATACTGAAATCCCTCACTGTGACTGTATTCAAAGGAAGGCTGCGTGTGGGACATTCATCGCACAACCAGTCATGCACAAACTCGGTGCGCATGGGACCCAATGTCTGCGGCTAGACGGAACCATCTGCTGTCTACGGATAGACGGAACCATGTGTGTTTGGGCACAAAACCCGGGTTCTCCACATTGCTAGATTACTCCCCTCCTCGCTCAGCGCGGCCTTCCAGATTCTACGCCTCATGTTGCACAATCTCCGTTTTTTCAAGCGACCCTTGGTGCTCTTTTCCGTAGTGTAAGATGTGGATTCTATCAACAGGAGCATCGACATGTGCAGTGAATTGATCACTGGGATCTCTGACAAAGAACACAACTTCAGGGAGGTTAGCTAAGATTGGTCGGAAACATGGATCTCTTAACATACTCAGAACTGCAGCCACACTAAAGCAGCCG